CCTCGAGGGGGTGCTTCATCCTCTCTTGCTCTCTCTGTCTCTCTCTGGGCAGCACACATGCTCTCTATCGAAACAGAGAGAGAGAGCAAGCGCGCTCCGACTCCCGTGCACGGTGGTTACGCAGGTGCGTAGGGAACTGACCCCACATGCCCACTGAGGTTTGAATCCCAACTCCGGACATGCTGTGCGCATGGGCATGCATGGAATGCTTTTTCTCTTTGTTACTTTCTTTTTACATTTTGCCAGAGAGTGCATGCGTTTGCCAGAGGGAGACAGAAAGAGAGGGAGGGGGTAAAGCACCCCTAACGGGGCGTGGTCATCGCCATCCTCTCCTCCCCACCCTGTCAGGACTGTGGACGTGCACCCACACGCACCAGTGTGTTCTTCACGGTGCTAAGTCAATTCGGATGGTGGTCAGTCACGTGGGATCCAGCTCCCTTACCCACCAGGCCACAGAGCCAGCCCTTCCCTTCCACTCACCAGCTCAGTGCTCTCTGGAAGCTAAAAAAGAAAAACCCTTCTCTGCCCAAGCATGGTCCAGAAGCAGCTGAGCCCTTGGGCCCTGGATGATACAGGCCTGTGAGCGGCTCCAGGGCGGGCCACGGCTCTCCGATGGGGACGGCCAGTGCTCCTTCAGAATCGCAGCGCAGCAGGACAGCAGGAGCCGGCCACGACCGTGAGTGCCCTGCTTGCCCTGCAGACCGGGGCTCGGAGTCAGATTGCAGCTGCTTTGGGGAAAATAAAGCAATATGATATTTCCTGCACAGCTGAGTGTGAGCTGGAATTCATTCCCACGACGGACAGATGTCTGGCGTAGATTGATACCACCCAACTTTCACAGGCACACTTGTCCAGAGGGTGGGATCAAATAGCGCATTCCCTTACACAATGATGTCGTAACAAGCTTCAGAGAATAGCGACGAGGAGAGGCTTTGGGGAGCAGGTATTCCATTTCTGACGAACTCGGGCATGTTGTCTGGTGGATTAAGTTAGAAAGTATGGGAAAATTGGCAACTCAATCCAGTTTCTTAACTCTAATAATGCAAATATAGAAAACGAGAGAACTTCGAAAAGTTTGTGGGACCTGCAAGAGGCATGGTGGTTAAGATGCTGGATGCCCACGTGGCTGACTGTGGTTCGATTCCTGGACCTGGGGGCCCAAAATCCTGAGAGGAGAACGGAGGAGGAGGGATGTGGCATGGCCTTCCTTCTTCACTTTCCTTCTCTCTGTCTCTCTCTCTTTTGTGAGTGCACACACCCTGTGGCAAAAAAATCTTAAAAAAAAAAAAATTTGTGGATAATGGGATTAAAGTACAAGTCCCCTTTGATGCAAAAAATTGAAATCCACACCTGCTTTTCCATATTCTGTGTATGAAGACCCCCCTGTACAATTTATATACATACTATAACCATGATCACTTCAAGAGGCTTCTTTAACAAGTTGTAAAGGTGAAGTACTGGCCTCTAAAATCCCGTGCCGAGGTTAAAACTGCCCATGCTGCTAGCACCCCTCGCATTACTCAATAACGTTAGCGAGGAGGGCACAGCATATTCTACGAGGGTCAGTTCCCAGGTCGTATTTATTTCCCCCGTACAAAGTCATTTGTGTAATTATTAAAATTCATATTGGATGGGACCAGCAGTTAGCGTAATGGCTATGTCGCTGGACTCCCACGTAGTCGACCGCGGTTCCCGTCCCAGACCCGGTGGCTTAAACTCACGCCGGGCGCGTGTGCATGTGTGCCCAAGATCCCGAGAGGAGAATGGAGGAGAAGGGATTGCGGCGTGACCATCCCCCCTGGGGGGTGATTTCTTGCTTTCTGTCTCTCTGTCTCTCTCTTTCTGTCTGGCGAGCGCACACGCTCTATAGCAAAAACCTCTCCAAAAAAAAATTCATATTGGAAATAAATATTTTCTTTCTTTCTTTCTTTTTTTTTTAGGTTTTTGCTATAGGGTATGTACACTAGCCAGAGAGAGAGAGAGAGACAGAGATAGAGAGAAGGAAAGTGGGAAAACATTCCCCACAGGGGCTGGCCACACCAAAACCCCTTCTCCACTGTTCTTGGAACCTGGGGCACACACGCACATGCGCCAGCACGAGTTTCAAGCCAGCAGTCCGGGACTAGAACTAGTCAACCATGTGGGAGCCCAGCATCTAAGCCACCATGCCACCTGCTGGCCCCTATTTCCTTAAATGTTTAAAAGTTTATCATCTATTTTCAATTTATCATTTTAGTGGCATTTCCAAACTTACTGTTTTCATGCCTTTTTATTTTCAAAAGTTACAGAGTTTATTTATTTATTTATTTATTTTAAGAAAGAGATATTTGCTATAGAGCACATGCGCTCACTGGAGAGATAGAAAGATAGAAAGCGAGAAATCCCCCCCCGGGGGGGCATGGCCACGCTGCAATCCCTTCTCCTCTATTCTTCTTTTGGGATCTTGGACACACATGCACATGTGCCCAGCGTCAGTTTTAAGCCACCAAGTCCAGGACTTGAACCATAGTGGACTATGTGAGAGTCCAGTGATGTAACCATTATGCCGACTCCTGGTTCCATAGGGAGTTTATTCTTAACTTGGAAAAAATTTAAGTCACGAAGATGAACGCAGAAGACAAAATGTGAGATGCTGTCTTTTTATTTTTATTTTAGGCTTTTGTCACAGGGCTCATGTTCTTGCTGGGGAGAGACAGAGACAGTGAGAAGAAAAGTGAGAAATCACCCGCATGGGTGATGGCCATGCCACAGTTCCCTCTCCATTTTCCTCTCAGGATTTTGGGCATGCATGCACAGACTCCCAGTGTGTTTTCCAAGCTGCCAGGTCCAGGGCTCAAACAGCAGTCAGCCAGGTGGGGGTCCAGTATGTTAACCACCATGCCTCCTGCTCACTCTATGCGACATTGTCTTTAGATCTAAAGTAAAATTGATCATCATAGATTCTTTCCCTGAACCAGAAGAAGCATTCATAAATGTAGTTCGTTCACTGTGAGTCAACTAAAACGATTAAATAACCTGAAGTTAAATTTCATTTCTCATTCCAGAAATAGAAATACTAGTGAGTTTTTTCCCTTGACATAAATTGTATGACAGGACGGAAGAAATAATGAAAAGAGGTTAGAGGGAGAGAGACAGGAGTGAGGGCAGGGCCGTCTTCCCTTAATGATCCCACAATCCCATGGAGAGGAAAAGTACCTGAAAGAACTCGGGCCCGTGCCGGGGGGGACTCCCAGTCAGCTAGTACATAGTCACACGTGTGGGCTCTTTCCCCCCTGGGTCAGGTGCTAAAGCACAGGCCATATCAGACAAAAGACAATGCAGCTGAAAAAGAATTGAGGCGCTGGAGTCCTTCATCCACGAAGTGGTTCCCCCTTGATCTCACTGAAGCCTAGCTTACCTTCAAAGTTTTCGTAGCTCCTCCTTTGGGGGAGTGTTTGGCTTTATTTATTTTTGTTTGTTTCCTTTCTTTCTTCCTCACTTCTGCCTTCTTCAGCAAAAGAAGCCAGTAGGCCTGGCTGATTTGGGGGTAATGCAGTGTTCAGGGCAAAAAGCCCAGAGTTTCAGTCTCACGGCCACTTTCCTTGGGTACCGGCACACCGTCCCTTAGCCTCCATTTCTCCAGGATAAACGGCAATAACAGGGCCCAGTCCACGGTGCGGAGGGAGGAAACGGGTCAGGGTATAACACCCAGCAGGGCAGGCATGCCAGCAGTATCTTCTGTTACCTTTCCTCCTTAGGAAAAAAGATAAAAACGTCTTTGCTTTAGAGTGACGCTTCTCAAACTGTAACAGCTACATAAAACATCAGGGACAGCGTTAAAAATGCAGATCCTGGGGGCCAGCGGGAGACAGAGAAAGGGAAAGCTAGAAAGCAAGCCACCAGGTCTGGGACTTGAACCGCAGTCGCCATGTGGGAATCTGGCACCTTCGATCACCACGCCACCTGCTGGCCCAAATACAGCTTTCCTTTTCATTTTATCCTCAGAACAACTCCGAGGAGGTTCGGTCATTATTGTACACAGCAGAAGTTTAGAATCCAGTGTTCTACTCGGGAGAGAGCAGTGTAATTCCAAAGCTCACAGCCACGGCACGCCTCGAAGAGACACAGGACGGCCAGGTCGATGGCACAGGTAAGGACAAGTGAGTCCAAATGGGAGGAAGGGACCGAGTAGGGGTGGGCACTGGGACCCGCAGGGGGGAAAGTATGGGGTGCAGGAGAGTCAGGCGTGCAGAGAGAAAAGGAAGCTCCTTTTCTCTAATACTTCTTCCAGAATGGAAATAGTTCCTGTTCAGGACTCGACTCTTGGCCTTGCGTGAAATGCCCTTCCATGAGGTGGACATGACTGACTGTGGCCTTACGCAGTAGCAGAGTAGAGCCGGTCCAACCTCACCTGTCTAAGTCGTTTCTACGCCTACCGAGATATGGAGGAAAATGCAAAGAGAAGGTCAAAAAGGGAACGCCGTGGTACACCCTGTAATTCTGAAGGGAGCCCTTCAGTCAGTGAGTTTAGCCAAGAGTTCTTATCTAAGCAAAGTTTAACGTTGTGCTACAAACAGGCCCCGGAGCCCAAGTGTGAGTCGGTGACCGAGATGAGGTCAGGTGACAGTCACATGGCCAGAGAAGAATGCTGCCATGACCTGTAAAGCAGCGAGCATTGCTGTACTTGGGTTCCATAAACTGTGGGCTTCATTTAGGGCAGACACAAGCAGCATTAAAGCTTTTTTTTTTTTAGAAAGAGAGATTTTTTTCTATAGGTTGTGTGTGCTCACCAGAGCGACAGAAAGCGAGAAATCGCCTCCCAGGGGGCATCCCCATGCTGCAATCCCTTCTCCTCTATTCTCCTCTCGGAATCTTGGACACGCACCCACATGCACCCGGTGTGAGGCTTAAACCACCAGGTCTAGAACTCAAACTGCGGTCGACTACGTGGGAGTCCAGCGACATAGCCATTACGCCACCTGCTGGCCCTGAACCATAACTATTTTGAATAGTTCATTTTGTTTCCAGGATAGCATATTCAACTGTTTTCAAGGTACCATTCAAGAGTATGCCAATTTGCACCTGAATTAGGAAATTTCTTTGGACAGCGTCATAAGGGGCCCACAGGTGGCATGGTGGTTAAGGCACTGGACGCCTACATGGCTAACTGTGGTTTGAGTCCCAGACCTGGTGGCTTGCTTTCTCACATTCCTTCTCTCTTTCTGTCTCTCTCTCTGGTCAAATTAAAAAACAATAGTAACAATAATAAATCAAATTAAATAATTCTTAAAAAAAACAAAAGTTGTCAAGAAACCTGTAACTGCTAACTACCAAAAATTCCTATTTTTTATTCCACCACCAGCTCCCTTCCTTGAGGCTACACTACCTGGGATGAGTTGAACTGAAAAGTTCTCTCCTTGTCTATGTTGGTAAGACCTGGCTATGATGATCCCTCAGGGTAATCTTAACCAAGGAATCAAAATAATGCCAGGAGGAAAGCAGAACTAGCTTTATGACCAGACAAGCCATCACGCATTTAGTATTACCTACATACAATAATTTTAATCTTCATAAACTGTAAGCTAGATTGTGGCATGTGCATTTTATAGAGGTTAAGAATGAGGATTGGGGATGGCTTCTGAGAACTAGTAATTTCAGGTAATTGCAGGGAAAAAGAGAAATGGAGATTTTTTACTGATAATCCAGCCTCTAGCCCACAGACTCGAGTGGAGAGGTGAGGGGCAGGCCTTCAGAAGAAGACTCCTCCATGGCTCCTGAGAACTAGTGATTTCAGGGAAAAAAGAGAAATGAAGATTTT